TTGATTTTTTGCAGGGTCTTCGTGATTTACCATCCTTCGATGATACAGATGTACGGAGGATGTCACCAAGATTACAACTAATTGATTGATTTTAGCATTTAATAATTGTAACCATGGAAATAATGTAGTACTGAAATATACTGCAAATAAATCATTTATCATTTTCGACATTTCTAATTTGCTTTCTGAGAAATCCAATAAAATTCTCCTCATTTATTGACATGATTTTCTATAAAAATCTGTTATTTTTGGGAAGAATTAAAAATTTTTTTGAAATTTTTTTTTAATAACTCAAAAAAGTAGTGAAATGATGAGTGGGATGATTAAGAAATGACGAGACAACGACGTTTCGAAATCTCGAAATGCATTCTTTTTACTTGAGGAAGATAGAGAGAAATATTTTTGCAAGTTTAATTCTTGCTCATTTGTTTGATTTTCATAAAAGTTTCTTTCTGATAATTAACAGAAGTTAAATGAAAAATTCTGCTTATTTTATTAATTATTAGGTATATAATATTAATAAGAACGAAAAAAAAACCAATAAAAAAGAAATGGCATTTGCATCATTGAAAATTTCTCATATTGCAATTCTTACACTTGAAAAGAGTATTGACATAATTATGTTTTAGCAAGGGTTGACAACAGTTAGGAATATTTGAAGTAGTTTTAGCTTCACCTCCTTTGTTCTCTTTCTATACCAAAATTATTTCGATGAAGTTTATCAATTTTTCACCTTTCATTCAAATTCAACTGTTTTAACGCGTGACAATATGCATTAAATTTACGAAAACATAAAAGTTTTGAATAAAAAAAAGTTGAGCTTTTTTTGTTATGAATTAGCAAAATGCTTATTTGTAATTTATATACATATATATATAAAACTTAAAATTTATATGTTTTAAAAGTTAGTGATAAATTCTGAAAAATAAATAGTATTTTTGAGGTCATAGTGGATATTTTTGCTTGTTTTGACGCACGACAATATGCATTAAATTTAAATATCTGAAGGAAAAAAAAAGGTTGAAAACTAAACAAATCTAAAAACAGATTTTTTGTATTTCGTGAAAAACCATTTTTGGATAATATATTCATGAAGCAACAAAATAAAACAAAAATTGCTGTGGAATAATTATATTCATATAATTTCGTTGAATTAATCAAAAATTACTCTTGCTAAAGCACAGTACTGCTAAAAAACAAATAAATAGTATTAAATATAATATTAATTCCTACTTGATCCATTGATAACTATTTCTTTTAGGATAGATCAAAATTAAAAGTTTATAGTTTTAAGAAAATGTTTATAATATAAATTTATGATATAAATTGTCATTCCATTC